GAGCTTTGTGCCCCCAGGTTCCCCTTTGCCGACCATCTAAACAGGAGGAACCTAAGGACGACGTGAGATGAAGGGTCATCGACCACACCACCGCCGCTACCGCTCAAGTAATCGCTCTCATAATTTTGCTCACACCAACTAACAATCATTCTCGAATATTCGATCGTTATCGAATATAGAATGTCCTGGGATCTTCTATCGCGTGCCGAAATATTTGTTCGCTCACGAATATTCGGCAACACGATAATTGTCACCGTTACACCGAGCTCCGATACCGCCGCTATATTTACGTTTCAGCTTGACGTTTGGCGGGTGCGGTGGTAAGGGGTCAGAGGCCCGCACAGCTGAAACCAGAGAACGATACCGCCTAATAGAGGATACCGGTGAGAAGCAATAATGTACCTCGAATCAAGACCATGAGGTACATTATCGAAATCGAGAGTGTCTCGAGATAATTGATATCTCGGGACAATAACAATAACCGCTACCGGAATTTCGAATCTCGACGAGGAACTGTGGACCAGGCGAGGGCAAGATGACAGCAAAGACGAGAGGCGGATCGATGATCCCGAGACCGATGAGAGACCGATTCCTCAATCTTGCGCTGAACATCAAAGCGACCACGCGAACCCGCGAGCCACGTGGCAATAAAGTATATTGCCTCAAGATACCGCGAGCGAGTTAGTGTCAGAGAGAGAGAGGAAGAAAGGGAGCGTTGGTGCGAGAGCGAGAAGGAGAGTGAGAGCGAGCGAACGAGAGAGAGTGGAGGAGTGAGAGAGCCGCCGGGACCGAAGGGAAGACCGCCGAGTGCAGGATCACGCCAGAAAAGACGGCCACAGCCAGGTTACCGCGGAGGGTGAGCTGCCGAATCTTGTAAGACCTCCTATCTATTCAGAGTGTCGTCTCGCGTAATATCGTCTCGTCCGCGGAGCGGCCGCGAATTTCTGCGACCGAGAGACCGCCCTCGGGTTACGAGCTTCTACCGTCGGCAACCGAACCTCGGCCTCCGCAAACTCCCTCGCGGCTGGTCGCACGAGCGTTGAGATCTCGGGTTTGTGTACCGCGAGCATTATCGGGACGTGCGAGTTCCGAAATAATAAAATGACTGATACCGCCAAATTTTTTCGTGATTTTTCGATTCTGATTTCTCTCCCGACGTCCACAGGAACCCATCCTGTCTCCGACTCAAACTACGCTGGAGGTACCGGTCCCGTACGATCTCCTCGACACGACCAATAATTGGTCGATTTTCTTTTCGATTTCGTTTCGCGACTTTCGCTTCGTGGTGCGGCCTTTTCCGTACCTGGCGCCCAACCTTTCGCGTTTTCGCATGGTCATGCGTCGGAGACCGGCAGAAATTTGCCGACGCCTTTGCGGTCGGTAAGAAATGACGTCGCAATATATGATGTTCGGGTCAGTATGATCCGATAGAAAGAAATTGATATTTTAATAATTCCAGTTAAAATTTAATGTTTTATAATAGAAAATAGCATTATTAGGTTGAATAAGAGTTATTATATTATAGTATACCAATGTGTTTTCCAGCACATTTATCTTCAAGGACAGTTTCAAAAAAGTTTGATTATAAAAAAAAACAATTCTTTCTTATTGCTTTATTATATTATTCATATAATATCATAGGTTATGTAATATCTAATTTTATTAAATATTAATTATTTTATTTCTTTGAGTTATACTAATGCTTTCAATTTATTAAATGATATCAAAAAGACGCGGCCTCGTCTCGTGATAAGTTCGCGCGTATACGTACGAAACGAACATTGTCACTACAAGTTGCTACAAATTTATGCCTGTTTATATCCTGAGTTTATAAAATTACTCGCGTAGTGCGCTAATAATTCAATCTGCATTTTGCATCATCCATGATAAGACGTCAGTATTTGAGTTAAGCTGAACTACAAGCAAAAGCGTCTGATGGTGAAGAGTCTATTTCAGAATATGAAAATCACACAAATAGAAAGTCTGAAATTAAATAGTCCGATGATGACGCCGCAAACATGGAACAAACTACGAAGACTATGCAATATATTCCTTCAAAAGACAATAGAATACAATGGATGTTTATTCCCTTTCAACAGCATGGTCGTCTATCCGCAGGAAACATAATAAGGAACACTCTACGAATTACTAGATATGCATATGCAAGAATCAAGTGATTAAAACTGCATTTCAGATCGTACTTTGTATTACAATTCAAAATGAAATCATAAAAATGACTAATATTGAGGGTCAACGAGTTTAAAATGGTAGGATTTAAATGTTGACACGTTCCAAACTTATATTGGTCTTTTGTTGTTGGCTGAAGTCTATAAATCATATGGTGAAGCAACGAAGAGTTTGTGGGATAAAGAAACTGGTCGAAATATTTTTAGAGCAACAATGTCACTTGAAACTTTTTCTATGGTATCCCGGGTCATCTGTTTTGACGATAAATTTACGAGAAAAGAAAGAAGACATGCCGACAAACTTGCTCCTATTAAAAATATTTGGGAAAAATGAGTAGAGGTTCTTTCAAAATTATATTATTCTGCAGAAAATGTAACTGTAGACAAACAACTGATAGGATTTCGTAGTCTCTGTCCTTTCAAACAATATACAGGGTGAATAAAAAGTTCTGGACCGGTAAAATATCTCGAAAATATTTCCGAAAGAAATATTTCATACAAAAGTTGTAAAGTCTTAAATGATCTATTCACTGATCTAGTCAGTCTGACCTTGAGTGACGTCGCCAAGATCAGGTGAAGGTTAACTTTGCTTTTTTAAATAGAAATATGTTTTTTATTACGGAATTATATTTTACGTAGAAAAACAAACAACTTTCTTTTTAATTTTTTTATACAACCCCTATTTTTTAAGATATTTGCAGAAATATCTACAAAATTATTGATTTCAATAATTTCTTACTCGAATTCTATCAACTTTGTCGAAAAATGGCAAGAGATAAAAATTGCTTATCTTTTTTTCTTAGAGCTCTAAGAATTTTTTCAGAATTTTTTATTAACTTTTTAGTACTGCATTTTCTTGGATTTTTTTGAAGTACTATAAAGTTAATAAAAAATTCTGAAAAAATTCTTAGAACTCTATGATACAAAAATAAGCAATTTTTACCTTTTACTATTTTTCGATAAAGTTGATAAAGTTAGAGTAAGAAATTATTGAAACCAATAATTTTGTAGATATTTTCGCAAATATCTTAAAAAATAGGGGTTGTATGAAAAAATTTCTCGAAGAAAAGTTGTTTGTTTTTCTACGTAGAATAAAATTCCGTAATAAAAAATATATTTCTATTTAAAAAAGCAAAGTTGACCTTGACCTGACCTTGGCGACGTCACTCAAGGTCAGACTGACCAGATCAGTAAATAGATCATTTAAAACTTTGCAACTTTTATATGAAACATTTCTTTCGGAAATGTTTTCGAAATATTTCAGGGACTTTTTACTAACCCAGTATACTCACTAAACAAGCAAAATATGGAATTAAAATTTGAATTCTATGTGACAGTAAAATTTCATATGTTTTGAAATTACAAATTTATCCGGACAAAAATTCTAGAGAGAGAAGAAGAAATCAGGTTATGCGAATTGTATGAGCTTAGTAGTGATCTGAGAGCACATAATGTTACATGCGATAATTTCTTTACTTCTTATATCTTGAGACAGTTGCTTTTAAAAAGAAAAATTACGATGCTAGGTACTATAAGAAAAAATAAGTTGAAACTTCCACAAATGAATAATAAAAATATCTATAGTTCTTCCTTTTATTTCACAAAAGATACCACAGTAATAAATTATATTCTAAAAAAGAATAAAAACGTTTTCATGAGCATCTTGCATCGTGACAAAGCAATTAATAATAGAGAGGACAAAAAATCGCAAATTATATTGGATTATGAGACAACCAAAGGAGTTGTTGATACTCCTCACCAGCTTGTAGGTACGTATAGTTGCAAGAGAAAAACAAATCGTTGGCCAATAATTGTATTTTACAATATGCTCGATATTTCCGCATAACATGCATTTATCTTGTGGATTTCAATAAACCTTGAATGAAAACAAATTTAATAAAAGAAAATTATTTTTGGAATAACTTGGCAAGTCTCTTATAAGTGCACATATTATATCCAGAAAATAAATTCCAAAATCTGAGGAGTCGCGTAATATTCTAAAGAAAATGCGAGAAGCAAATGAAACCGTTGTTTCAATGTCTACTGAGGCGACTAATATTATTAAACGTGCTTGATGTAAATTTTGCCCATCAAACAATAACAATAAAACTAACATTTTGTGTAACAATTGCAAGAAACATATTTGTAAGTTACACTCAAATTATTTTTGTTCTAAGTGTACCAAATACTAATAAAAAAACATGTTCTTTAATTATTTTTTATGGATATAAGTTTTTATATATTTTTTTTATAATTTACGTTCAAATTTTCAATAATAAAATTTACAATATTCCATTTCCCCGTAAATATATAAATAGTTCTTATATCCCCGTAAATATATAAAATAACAAGTCGGGTCATTTTGACCCGAACAGTACAACCATATAGTAAATTCGAACAGGACAGCAGGGTTAAACAAAATAATCAAATATTATCCTGGATCATTTCAATAGATCCATCCATCACGAAGACAGATGGAAGAACAAATAGTAATATGTGGTAAATCATAAGCAATGTTAACATGTATGTATAAACATGTAATTTAAGATCCCATTACGTATAGAAAAATTTAAAACTTTGAGAATATATCAGATGATAATAAAGCAGCTATATATCTGAATAGTTCAAAAAGAAGAACTTATATCACATAGCGTTTATATTTATTAGTAATATCATTAGTATTTGTATTGCAGAAGATAATGGCAGTATCTTGTTAAAGTAAAATAAAAGAAAGAGAAAAGAGAAACGGGATAGAAGATCGTTATAACAGAATATTGGATGTATATTTGAGGCATGTCCTTTTTTTCAACATACCTGTTATAACGTGTCTGTTGGTCACGAGAGAGCCGGCACACTGAAATTCAAATTCGATTTTCACGACGAAGAGAGCCACTAACCACGGCCACTGTCCGGGCGATGTTTTCCTTCCTTTAGAGATCAACGGATTAATTTCGTTAATGTTAATAGTACGCCCACAATCGCCATTATTTTGATTAAATTGAGGTTGAGGTTGAGATTGGAGTTGAGGTTGAGGTTTAAATTGGATTTGAGGTCGAATTTGAGGAATATTAGGAGTTAAAAATATATTTTTATCGATCCCGTCAGAAAGATTGATACGTTCAGTTGTTGTCGAGCGTTGCGTGGCGAGTTTCTTCGATCCAGTAGGATGACGGCTCGATTGAGTGGTCCATATCGTGAAAAATGGTCTCATCGTATGTGTTTCCGGTATATTAAATCCCGGATGATAAGTTTCTGTACTCTGCGACGGATGAACATTAGCAGAAAAGTTCTGCGAAAGTGGTATTACTTGTAGCGGATATAGAATATGCTCCAGCACAATGGAAGTAACAACCGATCCTACCGCTGAAAAGACAAATGAAACGTTGGATCATTTAAACTACAATTGACGTAGAAAGACAATTTATTTTCTTCCAGAAAAACATCCCTTTGGACTATATAGAAAACATGAATTTTTCTCGCGTGGTATAATATTTCTCGAATGGTATAATACTCACCACGAGGACCAGTGCAATATACTTGATTATTGAACCATATGTCAGTAAGTAGCGGAATCGGTCGACGAAGGGGAAAGTGGATGTGGTACAATAAAGGTCTACCCTGTTGTACTGTCTGAACAGAGTCTTCTTTCGATTGTGCCAATTTTAGTTGACCAAGATAACTCTAAAACGCATCAATGATTGAATTGTTTTAATCCACAAATAAAATCGAATCAAAGTCAAAATTAAAAATCATATATGGGGGATTTCATATGAAGTGATCAAGCTAAAAAAAATTTTTTCTCCAATTATGTTTAAACTCGGGGCATTTGTAGCCCTATTAGGTGGTAATATTTGGTAGAAAAATTTTTCCATTTGCTCCAATATTTGAGGAGGGGGAGGGGGTGAAAGTTTTGGGGGCCCGTTTCATTAAACAATTTTTTTCAGATAATTAAATGAATAAAAAAAATTTATGAATATCAGTTTCGATATGTTTTTTTATGCCCTTTCGATTGGTAAAATGCATTTAAAAAAAAAAAAATTTTGATTCAAAAAACTCAAAGTTAAAAATAAAAATGACTTTTTTTGGAAGAAAGACACGATTTTTTTTATTTTTTATTTTTTTAAATGAAAGCTGAGATTTTTTCCTATAAGAACATATAGTTCCGAAAATGGGCCTAGAATGTTAAATTCATGAAAATTAGAGTTTATCTGCTGACTCGAGCGCCGCGGACAAGAGCGCGAGGCTGCAGTTGACTGTCTAGTATAAGGAGGCGAACGTTAACGCTCTCTGCATTTAACAGGGTTGAGACTGTCATTTTGTGAATGCCTGCATTACGCTAACGCATAAATTTGGAAAAAATTTTGAAACTTGAAACCTAAATAAATAAAAATTTATAATTTTTAAAACGTAAAATCCTTGAGAAAGATAAATAGTGTACTTGAGCTGAAAAAGTGAATTTATAATTATATCTGAAGTCGTTAAATACTTACATCCCTTTAAGTAATGTCCTTCAGTTTTCGCTGTTTTCTTTGTCTTTTTTTACTTTTTGGGCAATAATCACTTT